ACCTTAGACACGGCCACTCGCAGGCCCTGGTACTGGGGCTGGACAGGAAGACAGAGTTGGCCCGAGAACTCGGCCCCTCGGCGACGGTGGGGACGGGGTCAAATGGTAGAGAGTGGACGCGTCACTAAGGAGGCTGGGGGGGTCCCAGGCGAGGGCTGCGAAGGTGGTGGGGACCCGGGTTGGGTCGCGGCCCCATTACCAAGGTCAAGAAGTCGTGCAGCAGCCGCGCCCGGAACCTCTCCAGGTCAAAGGCAGGGCCGTAGGTCAGCGACACGACGGCTCCTGCGGCAGGAGAGTAGGGGTCAGCGCCGCGCTGGCCAGGGACCGATGGGGAAACTGAGACAGGGAGCGAGCCAGGCAGGGGCCGGGCGGGGACGCTCACCGCAGAGGTCGCAGCACTGCCCCTGCGGTCGGAGGGCGTCACGGCAGGCGGCCGAGGGGCAGCGGCCGCCCAGGGGCTGGAGCAGGGCCGCGCAGATCCCCGGCTGCACCTGGGGGCGGGAGCGGAGTCAGCGCAGAGAGGGCGAGGGGCCGCCCGCGAGGTCGGTCGCAAGCGGGTCGGAGACGGCTGGGTGCAGGGGCCCCAGGCCCAGCGCCGCCGCCGCCGCCCCCGCGCGGTGCCCACGTCGCCCGCTGTGGGCCCTGCTCACCTCGGCGTTGCCGCAGACGCAGCCCGACCGGTCAGCGCAGGCCTCGGAGCCCACGCTCAGCGTGCCCGGACCGTGAAAGCGCAGGCGGCCGGCGCGAGACTCCAGGAAAACAGTCAGGTCCTCGTCGCGCGTGAAATTCTACGGTGGCCGAAACGCCAGCGGAGCCAGCCCGAGGAAGGGACAATATCGGCGTGCTCAGAACCCACGGGTCCGCACTACAGGGGTGGGAGGCGCTGGGGGAGGAGCCCTGCCAGGGCCCGGCGCGGGGCCGACACCGAGCCGCCTCGTCCCTGCGCCCCCACTTACCTGGCCCAGGGCCGAGACGCTGTGGACGCGCACGGTGCGGGCGTCCGGGCCGAGGTCCACCCGGAAGGAGGTGTCGGGCGGGAAGACGACGTCGTCGTGGCGGCAGGGCACGCGTTCGGCGTCCACGGAGAAGAGGCCGTGAGCCGCGAACTCGGAGCGCCACGAGCGCGGGTCGTGCCAGGAGAAGCGGTCGGGGTCGAGGAAGACGGCAGGGGCACCTGCGCGGACGCGCGAGCCTGAGCTCGGCCCAGGCCCTCGCGGAGACGTGCCCGTCCACGCCCCGCCCCCAGACTCGCCCTCCAACCAGGACACGCTCCCGGGCCCCGCCCCGACGACGCCCCACCCCTAAGCCGGGCCCCGCCCCCGAGACACGCCCGCGTGGCCCCGCCCCCGGCACGCTCCAACGCGGACCTCGCCCTTCCCGCGCGGCCCCGCGTCCGGCCCCGGCCTCGCCCTCTCACCTGCGCTGCAGTCCAGGTCCGAGCTGGTGTCGGAGGCGCTGAATCTGGCTCCTGAGGCCAGAACGAGTTCCCCGTCCAGTGGCAGGAGCTGCAGGAAGTGCAGGCTGAGGCGGCGCCACGCGGTGTTCCAGGGCGTCCGAGGGTCTCACTCTGCGCCCACCCCCGTCCCCCGTGTCTCTGGGGAGGAAAACCTAGACCCTGGCCAAGGGAGCTGGCAGGTGAGGGTCAAATAGGTGGGGGGGGAGCAGAGCCGCTGGCCAAAGAATTGGACCTACCCTGAGACCTGGGCGCGTGGAAAGTTTGGGGCAGGGGCCCCTCCCCAGGGCTGTCGCCCTCCCCTGTCACCCCGGAGAAACTGCAAGCCAAGGGCTCATGGGTTCCAGGAACCCACGTCGGTGGGAAGTCTAAAGGCACCCTTGAACCTTGCGAAAGAGGGGAGGAGGCTACAGTTGGACGGAGAAGGGGTGCCAGAAATGGCGGGAGGGTAAGGGGGCCCTGCAGTCGCCCCTGTCTCCCCTCCAGCCTGGGCTCCACCATGGCAACTGGTTCACCACAGAAAAGCCTTGGCCCTCAGCTATTGGCAGCAAGAGGGCCAAGAGAAGGAAGACTGGCCCCCCTCCGCTCCCCTCCCCTCCCGGCCCCAGGATCCCACCACCATTCCTCTTGACAGGATCCCCCCCGCCCCGCCCCGTGATTAGGGTTGGAGGTGAGTGCTGGGGTCATGAAGAGTTCAGCCGAATCAAGGGCCATCTCCCCAGGGCCCAGCCTCCTGTCCCAACCCACTGGGCAAGGCCTGCCCTTCGGCCTGTCCCCAAGCACTGGACCTGACCAGGAGGCCAACCTCTGCAGGGACATGGGGCCACAGACCAACTACGCCCACACCGAAGGGCACAGCACTGTGACAACAAGGCAGCCCCACCCCCAAGCACCAGGGCGCGCCCGGAAGACGGACACAGGATGCCTCAGGAAGAGGGGAGATGTTAGTGATGTGTAGCAAGAACTCATTTTTTAAAAAGAAACAGGGAAAAATATAAATAAGTTACGA